AGGTTAAATAAACAATAAAAAAGGCTGAAGTAGGAAAATGAGATTATGAAAGAAAAGAAGAAAAATAATTTTTTATTTCTCAAATCTACTGAGTCTTCTAATTCCACCTGATAATCACAGTAAAAATATGAGAGGAAAAAGGTAAAAAGAAAGGCATTTTTAGATATCTTTAAAAAAAATTGTTTTTGTCTTTTTTTATTTGAATTCATCTATTCGTTTTTGGTTGAAAGTCTGCAAACGGCAAACGGAAATTATTTGTTAAAGTCATAACTGTACTAGATAGCTTCTCTTATAAATCATTTTTTTGGTTTAGATGTAAAATTTTAAGATTCTCATCAGGTTGCAGCTTCTTCAGTTCAACCGCATCTTCTAAGTGCTTCTTTTGTAGCTGCTAATCGTTCATTCTATTTTACTCAAATAGGAGAGCTTCATAAAAACTTCCTCTTACAATAATTGTCATTTTTTGCACTTTTTTTTGCGCTTGAACGAACAGAGTTATTGACTTCAATTGGTGACTTTTTTTTATCCAACGATATGGCGTATTTCGTCAACAAATGTTAATTTTAGACTTTTTTTCAGAGATTACTTCTTTTTGATTGTTTTTTTGATCAAACTGTTGAGAGCTGAACCAAAAAGTTATGAGCAATTTACCTGAATATACAAAATGCCAGTTATCAAAAGAAAGCAAAAAAAAGAATTTTTTTAGCAGTTAATTGTCAGAAGAATTAAACTTGATAAAAGCTGTATCTTCTTATCTTACCAACTTTTATATTTAATTACTGATTTGGATCTTTTGCTGTTTTCGCTTTTTTCCCCATTCCTCTCCCCTTCCTCTTCCTGCATTTACACAGTACAGCTGTTGTACCGTTTATTGTGAATCGCTTGAGTATTGGCTCATAAATCATTTATGAAGTTTACTTTTACTTATCCTCAGCTAATCGACTGCCTAAAGTTTGAAGTTTTTGGCAAAAATTACGATAATAATCATAAGCGATAATCAGTAAAACAGACAACTGTTATTATAGTTTTTATTCAATGACTGCAGAAGAAAAAAGCAAACAAAAGTGTACTTTTTTTTGCAGAAAAATGATGTGATAAAAGGATCGACAGTCGAAAATTTCAAGAAGTTTGTGCCATTTTAATTTTTGCTTTATTTTTTTTCACTTATTAATTGTAAAAGCTCAGTTATTCTCTTGAAATCATTCCTCTTTACAGTCTATTCAAATTTTTTTTTTTAAAGATAAACGGTTATGCATATTACAAAGATAATAAATTATATTTTTATTTTAGGGGCTTTCTTTGTACCTAATGTTTATACAAAAAATATTCATAAATTTCCAAATATTGTTTTAAAAAAATTTTGCTTCAGTAGACCAACATCCAGCTCATCAATTTCATCGCTGAGTCCAGACGTTATCGTTGAGGATAAACCAGTTGTCAAAAATCAGACGGTCAAGAAGCAGAAAGGTTTCTTGATATAATGTATTGTACAGCTAATATTACATGTTACTGCTTTTGAAGAAATTTTTTACAATAATTGTTAACATTTATAGTTGTTGAGCCTGGTTTGGAATCTGTACCTGTAAAACAAAATTCGCCTTATCCGACTTCTAAGCTAGAATCAGCTGAAGCAACAAAAGTAACACCGGTACCGAAACCAGGGGTTCTATCAAAGGCAGAGTCACCACCGCCTAGGCTCAACTTGGATCAATTAAAAAAGGCTTCTGACAGCGAAAACGATGAGTTTCATTCAGCAAGCGAAGGAGAATCGCACAATTTGGTGTCTGTTAGCCCCACGCCGAAAAAAGATGGTTATTATTTTTTTCTTTCAAAAAAAAATTTGTTTTTTTTTCTAGTTTTGAAAAACTAACAAAGTACTTAAACTGAATCATTGATCTGATTTATTCTTAGCAATCAGTTTTACATTGCAGATTCTACAGCAGTAAGAAACATGGAGCTTATACAGGTTCCAATAACCTTTGATGAATGCTTTGAATACGCGGATGAAAATATAGTCCCGACGCCAGCGAAAGCACCAACAGTTGAACATGTGGAAGAAGTAGGAAAGCAAAAAAATAAAGAAGATATTACTGCTATCAAAAAGCCTTTGTCAGAAGAGAAAAAAGAGCAACAAAAAAATGATGTAGGATTTTTGTGCAGTTATTTTTGTCTTGTAAACTTTGCAGTATTAATACTCTCCATATGACTGCTCATATTTGAGAAAAAAAAAACTTTTCTTTCTTAGCTTTTTTTCAATGATATTTTATGAGCTGCTAAAACCTTTTCATTCATTTAAAAGATAAAATTGTTTAAGTATTATTTTTTTTTTATTTTTGAAGAGATAAGTTCCCTGTTACAAACAAAAAAAAA